ATCCAACAACATTCTTGGTAATTAGAAGCATATTAAGTATGTTCTACAGAACAATGTGATTACATTTAAATTGCTTCTAATAACATAAATCGCACCATGAAACAACTATATTTCCATATGCTAAAGTAAGGAAACAATGTTTAAAGCAAAAATATTGTTATAATAGGAGATATATATATTTTAGACAGCATAAAATTATTCTCCTAACTAGCACAAAATAACAGACAAGCATTGATCCAATTCTCAAGTTTAATTTATGCTCAACAATACTGCAAATCTCCTCCTTAACTGGCAGAGAAACACGTGCTCCTAAGTGTTTCCCTCTAGTTCCCTTAAGGGCATACAGCACTCCTAGCTCCTAAAAACTAGTTCTGTAAAAGGCTATTATATGTGTTTGATACTATGGGATCCAATTTGTCCTAGTCATTAGACTGGAAAGCCTATGAGTGTTACAATCAGAAAGGTCAACATGCTGGAATGGTGATATAGGTAGTAACAAAGAGACTAGCACAAATGGAACGGTGTTACAAAGGAAAAGCACTCACCTATCTCTGAATATCAAGGCTCACAGAGAAAACTCCACAAGGGAGAGATCTCCAACCAGAGATCCTTCCCCATTGCTAATCAGCCCTTAAATGGGTCTAACAGAGGTGCAGCAAGGCTCCACCCCTTCTGGTCACACAATTGAATTGCCTTCACCTGTGCTTCCAAGGCTGAGCCAGTCCTTTCCTCAGGTGCTCAATCAGTGGTTCAGGCTGTGACTCAGCAGTTCCCATACAATGTGTTACCCAAATATTTGCTAAAACTCTCAAATCTCAAACTGGTTTCAAGACTGACCTTAAATAAACTCAGATTCTGAAACTTACCTAGAATTAGTATAATGTAGTATAAACCCACAGTTTTGAGTACTGAACTGAACATGGTGTTCCTGAAAGGGAAAGACAAAATTGAGAAGTGTAAGTGTTAGGGGAGATGAACCAGAAGACAAAATACTAAGCACTTTTCCTGAATCAACTTCCATTGTGGGACTGGAAATTTGCACAACTGCTGTCCTCTCTTGAAGTAGAAACAATGGAGAAAAAAAAATGAAAAATGCAAGATTGGAAATAACTTCACCTAAATTTTCTCACATTTCTGTTGCCAAGTTAGAAACCAGAAAAAGTACAGAAGTGGGTGAATGTTTGGGTGCAAACACTTGTCATGCTGTCATGATCTATTGTTAGACAAAAGTCACAAGAGTGACTCTAGCAAGCTTTACTGACAACGATAGCATGAGCTTTGGCAGTTGCATAGGGATAAGAAAGCAATCTGTACTGCCCCATGATCTCTCAGCGCAGAACCATTTTGTCTCCCATCTGGTCTTTCTTTTCCTCTTTCTTTATGTGCTTTTCAAATATTTCAGAAAAACAGTTGGTGTACCACTGGCACTGCACCTCACAGCTTTATCCCAGCAACCTGAACCATAGCGATAAAGCTGAACTGAGGTGCCTATTACCCGGTTTCTTGACAGGACATATCAACACAGTTCTACAGAATATATCACCGGTGTAAACAACCAAACAAACCAATGTGTAATGCCTTCAACAGGCCTTCTGTTATCTTGTATCTGCTTTAGAAGCAGTCCTTCTGAACACTGCACTTTTCTAATACATATACTTTTTGCTCCTTTATTTCCATTTTCCTGTACATTACTATGTGGGATTAGTGGTAGATACAGAACATCATTCAAATGCGACTCAACAGTTTGCCAGGAAATTCTTTCCACAAGTGTTTGAATACCTCAAGCACAACTTCAAGATTTAATTTAGTTCCACTGAAACAGAGTTCTGCACTTTCATTACTCTAAGTCCTGGAACATTTTATGCTTCCTCATGCTTTCCAGAAGAGATACGTATGCAGATACACAAAATGTAATATTCTATGACGTTTTTTGTTTTAGCTGGCTCATATTTAGCAATTACTTGGTGAGTAAAAGCATAATTCCACACATCCCATGACTAACACTGCAAAGTGACTGCTCAGTGCAACCACTTTTGTAGCTTTGTTTTTAAGATACTGTAATCTTCTGAGTAAATTAGAAAATTACTTTACTGAAATGCTACTACTACCAAGAACCCTTCAGCTCCTCATATCACTTACTGTTGCCAACCTGATAAATATGAAACAGTACCAGTAGATAACCTGCAAGGAATATTATTTTCTTCAAGTGGAGCAAGCTCTACAGCTATGATGTACTGGAGGGATCTTCACAACTGCCACCCAGCAGCAACAAAGTGAAGTCAGATCCAAGACTTCAAACTCCAAAACCCATCAGAACTTGAGAGAAAACACTTGCATGTCACTCACAGGCTGTCTCTTCCAGTAGCCGTATAGAGATTCTGAGTTAGTTGCATCCCTCATAAATAAATGTATTTAACTTACTGGAAATACTTAGCTTTTCATTCACTATGAAACAATGAGATCTGACCTCATGCAATATTAAAGTTACCGCACCTTATCTCTCAGCATCAGTAAAATAAGGCATTTTTATCTTCTCAAAAAAACACAAAGAAAAATTCTTCACTTGCAATACTGTCTCCGTTGTGGATTTTGGGATGATTGATTTTTTTTTTTTTTTTTTTTTTTAAGGATGGCAATGTATAGAACAAAAGGACACTGAAAAAATAACAAGTTCCTCTACCTGTTTTAAAACCCGAATATGTGAGTTCTGACTTTCTCTCCTCCCCCTCACTTCTCAATTAAAATATTTTCTAGTAAGAACAGTAACAGACCAAAGGGAGCAACTGATCTGTAAAGCTCAGGAGGAGTGAAAATTTGAATTCTATAACTTTGCAGACAAGTTGCTCTGAGTCAGTTTACCCACATCCAAATCTATGCTCTTGTCTATTCTCATTTCCCACAGGTAGTTATGGCAGTAGCAATTTGAAGTATTTCGTAAATAACTTACTGGTATGCAGCCTGTTGCTTTATTTCCTCTTGTATAATTGAGTTGTGGTGGTTTGACATTTTGATTCAGTGTTGTAGAAAGAGCAGGCTCAATTTACTGAAATTTCTGTGGTTGATGCATTTAGGGAAAAATAATGATTCAATTTTGCAATGCATTCATTAAGGGAAAGGTACTTACATTTGTTTGCAGAATCAAGTACTCATCAGGAACAAGAAGAACATAGCACTTTCCTCCTTGGGCTGAGCAACAACTTTGGGCAGGATGGTTCTGACCTATGGCCTGACTTCCACAGTGGTTTGAAAACTACTTGCAAAGCCATTTTGGTACTCTTCAGTCTTCACCTGTATACATGAAGGGTATTTGCTACACGCCGCATGAAAGCAGAAGCAGAGACACAAAATGGCAAAGGGCCAAGTCATTTTAAGGGGTCATCTCTGGAATTATCATATAAAACATGAGAACTGACAACATAAATCAGCTTCCTCTCCCCTGCCCCTTCCCCTCTGTTCCTGGGGGCAAGCTGACTTCTGAACACCCATTTGGAATGATAGAGATTTTACCTTAATCAGAGCTGAGGAAGCCAATTCCCACCATCAAAACTATTTGCATCACATTTAGCTAGACTAGGGCCTGCTCAGATTGAGTGGGTTGGAAAAGAGGAATTGAAAGAAGAAACAAACAAGACACTCTCATTGCAGAGGAGTAATAATGGAACTTCCCTTTCACCAAGTCCTTTGAGGTCACTCTTTTTGAAGTACAGCATATTCCTGGCCCATCACCGCCTCCATACCTCTGTGCAGAGGTTCATCCATAGCCAACAAATGCCTGAGCTTCCTTTGGCCCATTTTCTCTCAGAGTCCTCAAGTTGATGCTGCTTGGACTGGCTCAGTAACAGCTCAAAGTTGACAGAACACGATAATATTAGAAATAGCCCTGTGACTCTTCCATCGACACCAGATTCTTTTCTAGCAAGGGGGAAAATGAAGCTATTGTTTTCTACAAGTTATGTCTCTTCAGCTAGAGAATCCTAAAACATCAGCTGTAAAAAATGGTATTTTTACACAGCTATTTGTGCTTACATTGTTTCCACTAATAAATTTCAACTTTGTGTTGCTGTTGCTATCAAAATGTACTCTTCTGTATATAAAGCAAGGTTCTTCAACAGTTTTTTTGTAAAAGATGCATATTGGAGAAAAGCACAGGAACACAGGAGAAGGCTATAAAGAAGTGACTATAAGTTAACTAAAATGTAAATTTTAGTATATTGGAGAGAGAGACTTATGGCCTAGGAGATGCATGGATAGGTTCTTTCTCTACAGAGATTTTATACACATGTGCTATATGGACAAGTATAGTCATATGAACTAGTTATCTGTAGACAGCACTCTTGTGGTCACTAAGGACTTTGATCACATCTGCAACATTCCAAATCTTACTACTTTATAACTTAAAAATCACAAGACCTATAGTTCAAGTTTGTATAAAATTTAAACAATTTCTATCACTTTTGTTTTAAAAGAATTTGACTTCTGATTTAAAATTAAGAATATATTTATGTGAATGTCAAGGTTGGAATCCTCAAAGAAAACCAGACAGCAAAACTGGCAAAAATAAATTTTTTTTCCCTTCTGATCTTTGACAGACTTTCTTTTAATTTCATTTTGTTAGGGAATTTCCTCACCACAATAATTTTAAGATTTATGATAACTTTGAGGAAACTAAATTGGGGAAAATGATGAGTTAAGAAAAGCAACACAAGTGAATGCCAGATTTTATTGAGGAACTGCATTCACATGTTTGTGAACTAAACCATCACACTTGATTAAAGATCATACTAATAATGCAAAGACATCACATTTAGATGGCACACAAGGAAAATTTCAAACAAAGCTTGGTCAACAGGATGTACCAAATTACACTCTGCCTGACAACTGTTATATCACTGAAATTGCACAGCATAAGACAACAATTTGCATGAAAGAAATTAGCAGCAGTAGCTGGTGCAAATTAAAATATACTTCCCAGTACAGTAACCATACAGAAATGCATATCCTCAGCTCAGATTGACATCTTGATATCAGCTGCAATTATAGCAGCCAGGAAAAAACTCTGGAAAAGTTGGTGAGGTTCTTGTGGGTGACAGTCTATCCTTGTGGCTGAGGAAATATCTCTTGAAGCCACTTGGTTCTGTCAACAGCTTGTTTTGGTAGCCGCCATGTGAAGGATGCAGTTCCGTACCTGCAAAACAACAAGCACAGGTAAGAATTAGTCTGAACAGGGGAAGATTTTCTTCAGCTGAAAACCAGAGTTAAGGAATTCCTACAAACAAATTCAGAACAAACTACACAGCTTGTACCACTAATGCTTACATTCAACCGCATTTCTTTTTTTTTTAGCTAGGCATACAATGTGCACACCTCTATTCCTGTAGGATAACAAAGTATTTCAAATTATATTTTTAAAATGTATATGCAAAAAATAACTACTGCACATGAAAACAAGATTGCTTCCAAAGTGAAAGAACAGCTGTTGGCACAGCTAGGTTGAAAATAAGATGCTTGTCTGGATAGGCAAAAATAATGGGTATGTACTGAAGTCTGGACAGAAAATCACAGCCAATTCAGCTACTGACAGAAGTCCTGAAGTCTAAAATCTTGATTTCAAGATAGGTGAATACTAGTAGGTTTAAAAAAAAGTCTGCAACAAATACAGCACTTTGCTTTTATCTACTGCATTGCACCTTTTTGATTTCAGAGCATTTCTCCAAGAGAAATCCACTGAGATAATGCTGGATGGTAGCTTTATCCCCCAAAGTCTTGCAGTCCCTCTATGGTGGTATCATCCATGAACTTTATACAATGCTCTTTGATTCCTTGATAGTATTACAATATATTTCCCTATAAAATTATTTAAGAATGAGCATAAAGAACTTTTGCCTAATTTTCATGAAGATGTGTATTCACAGCCACTTGTTCACACCTCTCTGACAGGCAAAATTGTCTTGACAAAGAAATTAGTCTGGCTTATTACCATTTGTCTTTGTGAAATCTGTGTAGTTATTATAACAGGTTCAAAGGAATGCCTTCAGCTCCCTGGCCCCTCTCCTTTCCCTTACGGTAAGCTACATAAGCAGCAATAGTGTAGGTGTCCTGTCATTAACATCAATATGGAATTTGGCAGAAGTATGCATGTCACATTTAGCTGCCATATGTGGCTTTCTCACAACAGTTGAAGGTTTGCAGCTACTGATGGATGATCACTGAATAGTGAAGACATGAAATCTGCAGCAAACAGACAACATGAAAACAGGATCAAGAAAAAAGCAATCAGACAAAATTTTCCACCTATCCTTAACTCAGTTGTTCACTAAAATTCAAAAAAGATCTTGCCCTCTTCTCACTTTCACTGAAAGTTCCCAGCTGCCCTATTCTAGTTCTGGAAGCAAAAAGGCTGAGAACATGGTTTTCTTTGTTTTAGCCCAGGAAAGATATCTCAAGCATTTTGAATCTTTATGATGAAATCAGTCTCAATCTGCCAACAAAATAGAATCGTACAAATCATCCACAATAAAAGCTTCCAAGGTTTTTAGTCTTCATATTATATAGACATTCAAACCATATAATGAAACCCTTTGCAGCCGGCCTTTTAATTTTGTCCCATTCCTCCCCTCCTGTAAGGAACAGTGTGTAGCAGGCTACATTTCATGGCACTCTGTAAACACTGGTCTCCATAACATGGTAGAAAGCTGACAAACTGAGGCACAATGGAATGAGAGACTCATTACAGAAAACAATGCCACTTTCACAGACTTGAACTGTGATCTCATCTCATTATTCAGCACCCATGTCAGATATTTTTGCATGCTCTCTCTACAAATGGTTGCAGGATCATTTTAAGTCTTCCCATGGCTTTTTTTCTTTTTCCTGATTTTGCAAAGGAAGCATGTAGAAGGATTAGAAGTTTCAAAATCAGTTTTGTTACTCTTAAATATTTGCAGGAGGACAAGCAACTTGATCTTCTGATAGGAGTGCTAAGAAGGATGCAATGGCACTTACAATGCTCAGGGTAGCTTTTTTTTTTTTTGAAGGGTATAAGAGAAAAACAGAACAAGGAACTGACACATCTACTTTCCTGCTGATCTAAGAGCAATTGCTGAGCAAACAGGCTTGCTTAGTTTTCTGTGAAAGATAATGCTGATCTATGGCATGTATTCTTATATTCCATGCGTGCTTAGTTGTGAGTTTTCACCCTCCCTGCAGAAAGGGAAATGGACATTTCATGCTATCTGAAGTCATCTGCATTATTCATGAATTTCTCTCAAGTCTGTAGTACAATTTTTCTGTATTGCACTACATTTCAAATACTATTTTCTATGATCTGTGCCATAGGCAGTTTGACCTTTAAACATGATTTTAGCATAGAAATCAAGTTAGTATATGAGGCTTCATCTTTTTGCATGGTAACCGTATTCATTTCTATATCAGACTGGACTCAGCAATCATGTTCCTTATGATTGCTGAGTCCAGTCTGATATAGAAATGAAGAAGCAGAACATGACTAAACTACCAAGTATTTCACTGCTCTTCCCTTTGGTCACACAGGAGTCCTTCTACCAGTTAATGCCTGAAGAATTTCTTTTGAATGGTAACTTAAAATGGCTGTTTTCTTATTAAGGTCTGGGGCAGCTCAGACAGCATGATGGAAATGACAGACAGCATCAGGGGAACATGGTCGTCTTTAGCATGCAATCATGAATTGGTGTTTGTGCTTAAGTAAATCAAGAAAAGATTTCTTTGCAAATACTCTTCTAGTCTCTCTGTAGATACTTTCTGTGCAAGAGGAGCATCAAGGCAATGTAATCTTCTCTGGCACATCTCCGCAAAGGAGTATGCACATATATAGAATAGAGACAGTTATAAGGTCTGTGAGGATGCAACTCAAGGTCTCCCACTCTTCTGTTAGCACTTTTCAGAAAACTAAAAGCTCATGTGAGGGATCACAGCATTTGACAAGCACTATACTGCACCAACCAATACAGAACAGAGGGTATATATAAATACAATGAAGTAAAAAGAAATGTTCTTACTGTACCTTTTTCCTTACAGCATTAGTAGAATTCATCCAGTACCACTTTTTTTTTTTTTTAACATATAGAGCCTCCTCTAGTTTCACTATCTGAAAAAACAAAAGCATTTTTAGTAAAATAAAAAGTATTATTCTTCCTTTAGTTACAAGTAGTAATACATATATTACTGCACTAGAAAAAAAAAACAATTCCTGGAATATTCCTTCACAACCATTAGAGGATGAGATGAACCACAGTATTCCACTTTCTATTCCTGAGCCTCTGAGAGGCTGCAGTTACTAGCATACTCGTGTTAGAAAAATAAGCATGAAGATGATGAGGAGTTACTTAAGGTAGCTCTGCTGAGGTGTAAGTAGGACTCATATCAAGTAGTCAGACTCCTAAAAGAAACTGTAAGAAAAACTTCCAATTCATGAAAGTAGATCAGAACTCAGACCCTCCCTCACTCCTTTCCAAAAATGATCAGTCACTTTTACCTTCACAGTACCTTCCATCTAGTCATGCCAAAGCATTGTGTGGTACAAAGCTCACAATACTTCTCTGCAGCAAAGAAATACCACCCTTGCTTTTCAGAAAGATTCCTACTTCCTGTTTAACTTACTGGCCCCACTTCTCTCCCAAAACTATTAAATCTTTACTCAGTTCTTCTCATCTTCCCTGAATGTTTCAGCCTTAAAACACTTGCAATATGGGGGATGTAGGGATAGTTTACACAAAGAAAAGCTTATGGTAAAAAGGAAAGCAAAACCACCTAAAGGCAAGATCACTCTAGTTCAGAAAAAGCAAGACTGAGTTCACAAGTAAAACTCTCATTCCAAGGCTCATTCTGAAGTTTCTAAAATTTGTTTTTATTGCCTACAGAAGATTACGCTAAAAATCAAAGAACTGAAAGAGCAGGAGAGCTTTTACTCTTCCTTACACCTGAAAGCAGCTAACCAGCCATTCTGGAAGGGACTCAGATTTTGCATGACTTCCGTGCCAAAGAAACCCAAGTGATGAAGATAAGCATTCAGGCTTGTCAGCGAAATCCTTCAAGTTTTTCACAGACCTCTCATCCCTGGCAAAGCAGTAGGCTTTCGATTTCAGCAGCCCACCTCATCAACAGCTAAAACCATCAGGACTTGGATGTGAAATAATCAGCATTCAGAACAGTGACAAAAGAATAATAGGTGAAAGCAGGACAAGCACTGCAATCTGAATAAAGCTCAAAAAAACACCAGAGGTACTTAGGCAAAAGCAGAGATCTCAACATTCTGAGTCCTAACAGCTGAAACTAAGACAGAATGTGAACACTGGATCATCACTGAGGAAAAAAGGAAGGATCTGTAATGCCACAGCAGGATGTGGTTTTACAACAGAGGTCAAGTCTGTAAAAGAAAAATGGCAGCAGCAATGTAATAGCACTTGTCTCCTTCCCAGCCTACCATATGTGAAATATGTCTGTCACAAAAATATAGACCTGGAGAAAAACAGCACTGCTGTCCTGACAGTGGCTTAAAAGTTGATGCTGCAAAAGGAAAACTTGAGAGAAAATGTTGAATAGTAAGGCATTCAAAAGTATAAAGTCAGTTTATAATTAGAATACAGTCATCTTATAAGAGTTGACTAGACAATTTGTTCATCCCACCTAGGAGTTTATTTAAGCTTCTCTATGTAGCAGAACCTACTTCTGCTGCCTTTCTCCAGAATAAGTGTTAAGTTTCCAATTCTCAGATTAGTAGCAGTTTGCTGAATGTGTGACTCTCATTTTGGATGTCTGCTCAGCTTATGTAGCTTCAAGAGACTCTACATTTCCTGAGAGCCCTATGAAGTGCTCTTAGACCAAAACCCTCATTCTCTGGAAAACAAAACAAGGTAAAGGAAGTTTATAATAAAGTGAACTGAGTTAGACACTCATCTGTGTGCTTACTATCGTATAATAGCTTATAATTACAATAACTCATTGATCATCTATTGCCATTCAGGTATGGAAGCACATTAAAAGCTAGCAAAAGCTTTGAATTAGAAGTGATGTTTGTTGATGGTAGATCTGTATTGTACTGGCTAATCTGCATACGTATTAATTCTTTTACAAAAAAAAAAAAGTGTTAATTCAACTGACCACCAAGAAGGTCCTCTTTGGGAAGAGTGGAAAAAACAAACCTTTTAGTCACCTTTCAAGTCTAAGCCACAAATACAGGCTGAAACATTCAGAAGCAGTCACTGGCCTCTCCTATGTCAGTAAGTTACATGCACTGTTTCTGCAGGTGCCTGCTCACACACAGTTACAGAGCAAAGTTATGGAACAAAAAAGAATGATCCCTCCCTGTCAAGAAAATGCATTTAAAATTTCTTTTGAGCTTCTTATCAAGAAAATGAAAACGTTATTATATATGCATGCATTTAAACAAGAAATTAAAGTTCAGCCTCTTGCTGATAATGGGATTTATTTGTTGTATCCTTAATAGATATTGTCAAGTTTTACACACTTCCTACTAATAAAGAGGAAGCTTATGCTAAATATTTTCATTTGAGTTCACTATAGATTTCATTCAGTATATAAAACAGCAAGATAATCGTATAATCAATGAATATTAAGATGTTATAATTATGAAATAAACAAGAGAGTTAGGTAAAGCAGGTTATAATAACACAAAGAGAATAGATAGAGAATAGATACTTACCTGTATCCTGGGCTCGCTTATGAAGCTCCAGCAGAGGGGGATCTCCAGAAGTGATCCGTCCCCACTGGTAGTCAGCTCTTAAATGGGTCAAGGAGAGGTGCAGCCAGGCTCCACCCCTTCTGGCAGCATAGGTGAATTGCCTTCACCTGTGCTCCTGTGGCTGACTCATTGCTCGCCTCAGGTGATCAGTCAGAGGTTCAGACCATGACTCAGCAGTTCCCATACAATAATGCAACATCATTTTAAGATATGTCAGAGAGAAAATGTGTAGCTGCATTCTTCCACACGTGATGCCAAAATAAAGCTTTTACTATGGAGGAGATAATGTATGTCAGTAAGTGGCCTTACCTGCCATTTGTAGGCTTAAACCAGTATCCAATTTACTGCGTGGCTTTGTGCTGATAAACAAATAACAGAGAACACACACAGTGATGATAAAAGCAAACAGGACCACCGCTGCTATTGACAGGCCCACAAGCGCTCCAATGCTAAGAGAGAAAACAAACAAATTAAGTGTACAAACATGCTGGAATACCCATTAAAATAGACATCACAATTACGCCTGGAGGCTACATGTACTAAGTTATAGAAATGCCTGTTTTTACTGTACACAAGTTTAAAGCTCAGTACTTAGTGTATGTATAGACATGTATATTTATATAGAGGCATTATTTCAACATCCCCAAAAGGGCCAATGTCATTACACAGTGGTTCAGCACCAGGCCCTTTGACATTTCATGTTGTTTAAGTGTAGTACTCCTTACTGTGATTTAAATGTTTATGAAAATCAGCAATAACTTCATACAGCAACTTGTATCAGTGAAATCGAACTCTTCCAATGCAGTGCACGCTTCCAGATAAACCACTGGAAAATTCAAGAATGTGTGCTTTGTGTTTCCTAATTAAAAGTATAGCTTAAAGCATGCACAGCCTTTGTGCAGTGTTCTCATCTATGCAGAAACTGAAAAAATTAGCAATAGTCTTCACAAATATAAAGTAAAAGAAGTCAAGGCATTTCAACAAGAAAATTAACGCCAATTTTTTTCTTCCTTTTTTACATTAACTTCTCCCAGTTTTTGCAATTCTTGAACAGGATTTTGACCAATGTAGAAGCTCCTAATATCACACACACATACACACAGGGATTCCAGAGCTCCAGGCAACTAGCATAAGTTCTTCTTTCTCAACCATGACTATTAAAGTAGTATTTTCAGTCTGAACTGCCACTTCCATCGCAAGAAAGGCTAACTAGAGAACGTCAAGTGAAGCACACCTTTGTAACAGACTTCTCCAAGGCTGACATGTTCATAAAAAAAAAACAGGGTAACAAATGAAAGCCACATTCAGTTCTGCCAGCAGCAGCTATGCAGAACAGGGAGAAGTACTGCAATCATTGTTGCTCTTCTTTGTAACATTTATCAACAGATTTTATCAGAATACTACATCTGCAGGATAAAAGCTCCTTTATACTACTTCCATGGTCACTCAGCAAGAAAGTATGTGTACATATATTTTTTAGCAGCTTTCTTATTTCTAATCCTTCTGTTCAAGTCTTTTCCTAATAAAAAAGTCTTCCATGCCAAAATAAAGGGTCGATTGCAATACAGCATACAATTTGTTTTTCTGAGCACTAGTCTAAGGTTCCTTTCAAAAACAGCAGCACAGTTGTGCATCACACAGCACAACACACTAGCATTATCATTACAGAACTTGTGCAAGTTACTTTTTATAGCACACAAAACATTGGAAAGAAAAGCAGTTCTTGGAGAACTCTCCCATATTACCTACTACAAGTCAAAGACTTGTAGGTTGCATAACAGGTTACATACCGGTGAAAATATTTGACATGCAGCAACAATGTGAGAAGATCTTACCCAAAACATGGAAACTGTCACCACAAAATTCTAGATTTCACTTCCTAAACCAACCCAAATTAAGACACAGTTTGTATGTACTGCTTTTAAACATACTTTTAAAATACCAGATTGTTCTCAGTGTACGGAAGCTAAGAGCCCTCTTAGAATGCATTATTCATTTCTTAAAGGTTAGTTCTGGGTTAAAGTTCCAGAGTAGGGGTTGCTTTTTCAAAGACTGAATTAACTCAGGATTTTATAATGCCTTCCACAGCTCTGAGCACTGAAACATCTTAAGACAGTGGTACTTTATTAAGGTAGCTCTCAAAATACCAAAAAAAAGCCATCATCTTAATGATTACCTTTCCCAGAAAATACAGCCCCTCAGTAAGTCCCCTAGCTTATACAGGAATTACTATGGTGCTGCACAGCCATCTAGAAATGCTTTGTTAAAAGCATTTCACCATCCCCACATCTTTAAGCCATGGGTGTCTAAAGTTCACCCAGCAGTCCACAGGTGGTCAGGTTGCATCTTCAAGATCAGTCTTCTGGTAGCACAGACATTTAGCTGGAAACTAAGAAGCTGCTCTTGTCCAAAGCTGTGGACTCAGTAGCACTAATAACCTACCCACCCACCCTCAAAACAATAATCTAGCATAAGAACAGCTACAAAGTCCTGGGGGGAATCCTGATGGCACTTACACAACTTAGAATGTGAGCAATGGTAAGCTTGACAGAAGAAAACTCCTAAGACTACATACAACAGTGCAGGCATGCCACAAATGTCACTGACTGCTCTGACTGCTGTTACACAGTGCCAGGTGCACACATGCAGCACTGCCACACACCTTACACAACCAGAGGCTGTATGAGCTGAAGCTGCACTGCCTGCAGGCTCCCAGGGCTCCCTCTTCTGCTGTCCTGGTTGCTGCTGTGTAGGTCATCAACACTTCTTTCCGTGGGGGCTCAGACACCTATTGCTATTTTTAGTCCTTAAAACTAATCCATCCACTCCAACAGCAGCCAGAAACAATTTAAATACTGGCTAAGCAGATGCAGTACGTCCACTGAAAGATTAAAAGGAAGCTCATGAGTCATCTGGATCTGAGTGAAACAAATGTTCGCAGCTCCTGTTCTCACAGGCTGATCACCAAGCCTGAAGGTTTGTTCCTCCTTCGCTCGCGGTGGTGAATGAGCCATAAGCAAGGTCTGCAAACCTTGCTTTCAGTTGCTGAGCTCCGATAGCTTACATTCCAGCGCCTTTTGTTGTGCAAATTGTGATAGGACAAGGGGGAATGGTCTTAAACTGAGACAGGGGAGGTTTAGGTTAGATACTAGGAGAAAGTTTTTCACACAGGGGGTGGTTACTCCCTGGAACAGGTTGCCCAAGGAGGTTGTGGATGCCCCATCCGTGGAGGCATCCAAGGCCAGGCTGGATGTGGCTCTGGGCAGCCTAGTCTAGTAGTTGGCAACCCTGCACAGAGCAGGAGGGTTGAAACAAGATGATCATTGCGGTCCTTTTCAACCAGGCCATTCTATGTTTCTATGATAATACCATTGCTGCAGTGATGTGCTGTATGTTATACTTGCAAAGCCAACACATTAACAACAGACCAGCAAACAGAAACAAAAGACTTGCTTTTTTTGGAAAGTAAAAACAAACTCCCAAATATCTACTCAACTAAGCAAAGCCTGCCAAGAGCAAAGGGGCACTGTGGTTCTACAAGTGATAATTAAGCATCTTGAACAGCAGCTCCACTCAGCCTGTTAGTAAAATAAATAATACTATATGAAACTTACAAGATATAAGGACTTGGAATGGATATTGTAATGCTGTTTGATCATGAAAGAAGCCATACCATTTGCAAAAACAACTTAACTGAGCAGTAACACAATAATTCTAAGACTTTAAAACAAAACGTACTGATTGAAGCCATCAGCATCACAGATCAGTACAAGTTTTACCTGCCCAGCTCTTCTCCCTTTCCACCCAGTTTCAGAGGTAAAGCAGATGTCACAATGACTGCAGGTAAAACACAGAGGAAGGGTAAGCTGTTCAGTGCTTTGCTCACTGGTGTTCTGTAGCATTGTTGGATGTGGGGTTTTTTTGTGGTTTCAGAAGCTATATAACCTTCTGATGAATTCTACACACCCATCTTTTTGCTGATGTTCCCTTTCCTGCTCCATGCATGTTTGGCTTGATTCAAAAAGAATCCTTCGCTTTTCTTCACCAAGATCAGCCTATCCAGAAAGGTGGAAAGGGAACCTAGGTCACTAGCCAAAAAAAAAGTTATTTGATCTAAGTGCCAGCAAACGAAAGGGTAGCCAAGAAATGACTAACATTGTAGATAAAAACGTTTAAAAGTATGAGATGTCAGTGTTGCTTGAAGATCAATTTCTGATTGTGCTGCAGCTCCTAGTACAAGTGTTAGGAAACAATTTTCAAGGATCAGTTTTTGCAGGAGTGGCCAGGGAAAAGACGACTCATTTTCACAAAGTGCAGTATATAGTTCTAGACATCATCCAGACAGTATTGATTTGGAGAAAACAACAAAAAAAGCCTAAAGGCCCGTAAGAGACAATTGCTTCAGTTTGCCCAGGCTGAAGGTTTCTTCGGGAACTGCTTCCATCAGGGCCAGCTGCCAAGTGGTCTGGCAATGTCTCCCACAACAGGAAAAACACAAGTACACAATAGCTGCCAGAAACAGAAACTCGTGTGTCAAACAGAAGTAATCCTGAGATAGCACCAACCACTTGGTGATGCCTTCAGCCGTTGCTTTCAAATTAATGGGCAAAGTCAAACAGGGGAAGAGATGCAGAATGAGAAATTGCAAGCTCTGGAGTAAAAAAAAAAAAAACTTGCAACAGTTACTCCAGAGGATCTTGCAGCTTCCTTCCCATTCTCAGTAGTTTCAGCCTAAAGGCTTATCTTAGCTGGCTTTGGCTTATTCCTGAAGTTTTAAGTCTGTGCCCTCATAAGCTGTAAGAATCATTTGAAGATTTATTTAGAACTATTTTAAAGAGTTAATTATGTAGTTGTTACATTCTGATGTAGGCAACAGTCTGAAGTGAAGACAAGCAAGGTAGTGATCACCAAAACACTGAAAAAAACATTACTTATATTTTCTTTAAGCACCTAATGGAACCACTATGTGCAAATACTTAGTTTTCAAGGTCCTGATAGACTGTACAGCTCCAGTGTAGCATCTAAGTAAAAACCGTCATTTGATTTGTTACTGGGAAAGCATTTATGACATCAGCTTTCAGCACTAACCACTCAGTGGCTTTGCTTAGAGAGGCAAATTGCATTTATTCACTTCAATTCACACAAGACAGTTACGGCAGGATTTAGCTACAGTAACTTAAGACCACCATACTGAAAAAAAAGGAATGAATACTGAAGTATCAAAACCATAGTCCAAAGTTCTGACCCAGATAAAGGCTTAGCAGTCTCTTCTCAGAACCTAAAAGATCTCTATGAGATCTTCAAAGAGGTACATCATTAAAGCCTTTCCTAGGATTTTGTTCTTTGAGGTATTTTCTGAAAATCATGATTTATCTGCCTTCAATGCACTATCCAATCCTAGTGCAGGAGCATAATTTTTTAAATTTCATTTTTCTGTTGTTCTCTACTCTTAAAAAGGGTCCCTGTGGCCAAAATGTTCAGACTATCCAAAAATTATACCATCTGAAGTTAAAACAACATGGCTATTTGATGAGAAAAGTGTAAAAAGCACATTTAGGGATGTCAGTCACACAGCAGGGAAGCTGAACAATTCTGTATCATTCTTCACAGATGAGGATACTTGGGAGACTCGAATTCAGTGTCAGACAAAACAAAGCACTGGATAGCAAAGCACTGAAGGAATTCTTATATGAATTTGCAGGACTGCAGGCCAGGGCATGCACCATGAGGCCACTGCCAGAGGACTGGTGGACTGAGAATGCAACTTCAGCCTAGGCTCAAGAGGGGAACCCAAGAATGACAGACTAGTACACCTGACTTCCACATGGGCAGCACAAAGATCTATGAAAAGACTAGTTAAGACCATTAAGCCAAGAGATAAACACAGCATCAAGGCCTTGGGTGCTCAAGCTCAGGGCCAAGCTTGCACAGCTGGATCTCTTTTGGAGAGCTCTAAGGGCTGCTCCTTCTTCCCTAATGAGCTACTTTAAAGTGAGGCTCTTATCCTGCACCTGGCCACAGATCCGTTCATCCAGACACCCGCTCACAAATTTACCTCCTAATTTGACCATGGACAGGTTCAGTGGGTTGTGTCTGTCTGGTCACCATCTCCAAACCTGCCCTTGAACTGCTCACTTGACTTTCCAGCTTGCCCTCAGGCATGCACCATAGCTGTGGTCTTGTCCAGCAGTTGCAGGGTTGTGTCTGACCTTGGCTACTGTTCCTAGCCCACCACAGCCAGACCTGCCCTGCTCATTCCATCTGGAATCAAGGGCCAGATCCCTTGCTGGTGAGGCTGCCATCCCCAGCAACCTTCTTACATTTTCTGCCCCCAAGAAGCTGCTTTGAGTCACAAACTCATGTAAAGCAGCCAGCATCGCTGTAAGGCGATAGTACCACCTCACCAACCTGATGGAGTCCAGGCATGTCAACAGGCAGATGTGAGTGATCCTGAGCTGTTTTCCAAGCAATTAAACACTATGAGGACAAGGAGTGTCAGGCTACTCTCAGAAAACCAAGCGAGTGGTCTAAAGCAATGCGGATGAGCTTCAACATACACAGCGTAGCTAAAAATAAACAACGCCAAGCCTACATCAACTCAGAACTGCCAGTTCTAAACTGGAGAGAAAAGTTTGAGCGACAGTTCAATAAAATCAGTGTCAACCTGCAGCAAGAACCGCAGATATCTGCAGACATCTGATGCTGGCCGTCAAACTGAAGGATTTTGAGCCCAAGACTGAAGGCATCGTTTTGCCACTGTGTAAAATATCGCCCTGCACTGCACCTTGAGCACCCAGCTCTAGGCTGCGCACCTCCAGAGCAGCACTGTGGAGATGAGCTGACTAAAAGGATTGCAGCAGCTCCAGGACAGCCCAACCCCACCATCCCACCGACCACATCCCTCCATGCAGACCACGGTCCTTGAACACCTCCAGGGACGGTGACCCCAGCGCCTCCCTGGGCGAAAGCAAGCTAGGAAGAAGAAAACTCCCAGGAAGTAGCATGAAACAAATAGAACGATCTGCCCTCAAAAACCCACCGCGGTGTAAGGAGAACTCTCTCGGCGGCAGCTCTACCAGTGCCTTCGAGGGCACGAAGTCTCAAAGTGCCTCAGACACAACCCACAGACAAGTCCCGGCCAACGTCGCTCTCCCGCCCCCGCAGCAGCCCTCCCTACCTGAGCCACCACATGTAGCTGTGCTCGTAGGGGAAGAAGCTGTGGGGGTCATCGCAGCAGTACTTGACGTCCTGGAAGCCGCAGCAGTACAGGGCGCGGGCATCGCCTCCCACCCGCGGGCAGCTGAAGCCGCTCACCAGCACCCTGTCGGCGTTGAGGTAGCTGCTGCACTCGGAGCTCATCGCGCTGTGGCGGGGCTGCCCGCCGCCTCGGCTCCGGCGGCACACGGGAGGGAGGGAGGTGGGGAGGCGGCGGGCGGAGCTCGGGCGGAGCAGGCGGCGGCCGGCGGCCCCTCAGCGCTCCTCAGGTACCGCCGCAAGGCGGGAAACGCGTCCTGAAGCGAAGAGCCCGGCGCCGTCCGTTCCTCCGAGGCAGAGACGGCCTGACGGGCAGCGCCTCTCACAAGGGCTCGGTTCTCCTCAGCGCTCGGTCCCAAATCGAGGAGGGAGTTCAGGGAGCTCCATACGCCTGTAAGCTCAGAGCCCCTTGGTTTGATGAGGGTAACATTATGCTTTGTCTCTCTCAGAGGCCAGCCTCACAGAGGTTTTCATTTCAGTGGTTTTATACCACTTTTTTTGTTATCTGTTTTTTAAGAAGCAGTGCCCAGGCAGCCAGCCTTCCCTGTTAAGAAAGAGCCATCAGTGAGAGAGAGGTGGGGAGATCTCCGTTGGAGATGCACCTGTGTGTCCTTCAGGTGTGCCTCAGGGTGCACTTTGGTCCACAGAAAGAATAAGTCTTCTGGAGAGCAGCAGGTATACACAGCCCCTCCAAAGAGCCAGTCCTCAGCACTGCTGAGGTTGGTCTTTTCAAGCTGGAAAAAAAGGCTAGAGCAAGTAGATGATGGGTGCCCCATCCCAGAAGCCATTTAAGGTCAAGCTAGACCTGATGGAGCTGTAGGAGTCCATATTCACTGCAGGGGAGCTAGACTACATATTCTTCAGCTAGTTGGTTGTTTCTTTTTTTTTTTTCTTTTTTAGTATGTGATCTCAAGAAAGAAAATGGTCAGATTACTATGAAATTATAGTTGTAATCTAGTCACCTGTGTTGTTCAGATGAACTGAGAATCAGATCAGTTGTTTTATGATTAAATTGAGGATTGATTTATTCAGAACTCATACAGCAAAATGATCTACTGAAGACCAGAAGGTAACCTTTTTACTTCAGTTATGTTGATAGTGTTACTACATGTAGTGATTGAATCATGGCTCTTACGGTACTTCATTCACAACTTTTGTGGGATTTGTTTCTGCTAACTGAACTTCTAAAAAAAACAGAAAATCAATTGTGGATTACTATAAGAGGTGTTGCTGGCTAGATCAACTTCAACCCTCACTCTCAGATCTACGTAGAAAGTTATTCCTTAACCATTACCAGTAGGCAGACAGCTGTATAAATTACTTCCAGAAATAATCTTGTGGCAATTTTTGTAATTAAACAAAATTGGTGTGTCATGATAGAGTAACTGGTCCTGATTAGGAGATAGGTAGGAAGCTTGGATCTGAATGCAAGTTTCTTCCTTGTCCCCATTCCTTTTCTCTCAGTGAATACATTTAAATCCAGGGGGTGAAATACATGTTTCATTTAGTTCTCTTTCACAAATGTAATGACAAGCAGTAACACTTAATTAATAGACGTAACAAAATTCTGTATGCTAGTTTGAAATATGCCAGATGACTCATACAATTGACAATATGAAATTTCACTATTTTTTCTATTTGTTTTCAAATGTAAGAAATTACACTTAAAAAAATTACATTCAAATAGAATTTAGAAATGCCAGACTTACAATTGATAACATGATCACACACTATTTCTTAAGAGCTTGACATTGAGGTTCTAAATATTTTATTTTCTCACTCTTTTCTAATGTATGATGAAAAGTTGATCTGCTGAGTGTTTACCACACGTACTGTGAACGCAGTTATTTCAGCTGTGTTTTTGTTCTAATAGTTTTGGGTGCTTCACGGGTATTAATTCATTTTTCTGTGTTCTGTGAGATGAAGGGTTGGGCTATTTATCTATTTTGCAAATACCAAAATATGTCATTACCTACTTGTCTCTCATACCTGAGTCTGGAAGCAGAGATGTCTATTGGAAGTCTCAATTATTTTTCTTCTGATAGGAAAGCTGAGGATACTTACTTGTTATTCATAAAATGTGTGAGACCTTTGAACAGAGAATTACAAAAAGTTCAAAGTATTGCTTCCAATTACTATGATAGCATTTCATGAAAATGCAAAAATACTGATAATAACCCTGGAGGGGGAACTTTTCTGTCTGTACTTGGCTGACATCTGAAATGTATGTCTCCCCTGCATTTAAAAATGGATTTAAAATGGATTTGGATTTTAAAAAATATACTGCAATATTCCATAAGCAATTAGAATAATAGCGTAAGTGTTGGTTCTCATTGTGGATGACAGTGCTTTAAGTTTGTTGGAGAAGTCGTCACGTGGTGTATTCCTTCTTGGTACGTGTATTGTATATAACTACAGGAAGATGGGAACGTGGACTTTCCACTCCTGATACTGTGTTAGTCACAAGCAATGATATGCTTTCTTCTTTTCTTGACAGTTCCATTTTATTTCCTAGCTGCTAAAGCTCTTTTTTTCCCCTTTCTTCTGGTGCTGAAAGATAGTTTGTTTTCCACATTGGGAATGCTACTTAATTTTGCAATGATGTAAAGAGAATCAATTTCCATAGCCCTTGTACCTTTGGCTGACACTAGAAAGCTGTATTCAGTTTCAAATTCCTTTTCACTTCAGCAATGAAGATAAGGAGCATAAGCTGTCAGTTTGAAGGAATGATAAAAAAGAAGTATGTTCTTTTTGGTTTTGTATGTTTTCAAGACACTTTATGGGTCTTTCAAACCAGTTACATTTGCGCAGCCATTATTAACCACAGAATGGATGAGGTGAGAGGAGACCTTTAGAGGTCATCTGGTCCAACCCCCCCCCTGCTCTAGTAGGGCTACCTGGAGCTGGTTGACCACAACCAGGTACAGACAACTTAAGATCTCCAGATGGGAGACTGCACAACCTCTCTGGACAACGTATGTACCTGTGCAGTAAAAAAAGGAAGTATTTCCTGGTGGGCATAAACTAGGACACATGAGGTTCTGTCTGAATATATTGTCTTGTCTTGTCACTGGGTACCACTGAATATAATAATAATATTCAATTAAGTCATGTGATTGTTATCTCTTAATTTATGTGTCCCTCCTTATCAAAGCACGTGATTACTATGGAGCTGCAATGGGTGGAATTGCTCTGAGTGACAGACTAGACATTTTGAAGATACTAGATGTTGTTTTAAATCAGAATTCTTCAGGGGGATTTCCAATAGATAATAGAGTGCTTAGAAATGATGTTTTGAATTATATAAAAGAAACATAAGGAAAAAATTTACCATAAAATAAAGTCATTTTTACTGTCATCTGTAGCAGTTATGGAGCTCAGATATCTGGTATGGAACTTAAGGAAGAACGTGTCTTAGGACAGATTATTCATGAGAAATTGTTTTGCTTTGATGTTGGTCAACTGAATTTTGGCTACATCAGTGGAATGGTTTTTTTCTAACAGAAGTGGAGGGTGGCACAAAAGTATGGTGAGAGCATTTTTGAGAGCTAAATCAGAATGATTCCACCGAGTGATAGTAGTCTGCTGTGCTAAAATGCAATTACCACTACATTGTTTTCCATCCTGTATGAAGACATAAATTCTTGTTCAAAACATTGCCAACAGAAGCATCATAAACACCTTTTTTATAGTCTTTTGCCCTACTTTTATTAGAGAAAGGAAAGAAATGAATACTGATATGAACAAAAGCACAAAAAAGACAAAATAGGAATGTCTTCAAATTATTACACTTTCCATTGGACCGCTTTTTCTCCTTTGATCTGTTGTGTTTCACCTACGAAATGGCATTTGAAGAATAGACTTTAATAGGCATAATACTTTCATACTTCGTTAATTGAGGCATTGAACTTAAATTAGGTCAGAAAGAGGCATCAGGGGAAGAATTAAAAGAAATGGTCAGAGGTAAAAGACTGGAAAAGCATTGAACTTTTATCTTCACAGGTAGAATTGACAGAGAACCCAACCAGAGCAGATTAAGTAATCAAAGGGAGAGGTATTTCCAGGCTGATGTGGGAATTCACAAGCTTATTTCTAACAAATGGATGATTATACATCCACTTTTATACTTGCAGTAATTACTGCTTTTTTGTTATTATTATTTTTAATATAAATTAATTACTTGCTCTTTAGTAGTGACTGATAACAAAAGAATGTCTCTGCTCTCTCATCTTCCTTAAGTACTGAAATAATTTTCTCTGAACTTTCTATCTGCAGACGCAATTATACCTTTTTGTTGCAAACAGTTTCACATCTGAAACTGTGGAAAGATTCATCCATATCAGCTGGCCATCCATAAATAAAAAAAAAATCTATATTATAAGAATTATAGTGTTACATGTTTATGGCATGGATTATTCATATTACAATAATTTTTAAGTGAGTTCTCTGAAATATTTTTGTTTTCTAGAACTATATGAACTTTTGGTTCTGGGTTTCTTAATCTCATTTTTGACAAACTACATCTCCCATGCGTGCAGTTAACAACTACAATTGGTGTCTTGCAATTTCCAGTATTCAATAAGATTAAATGATTCATACAATTCAGTGGTTTGATCTTGCAATTTTACTCAATGATTTATTCCTGCTCACTTCAGCACAGCTATTTGCTGAATAGATTGGCCATCTCTAAGGTTAGCAGGAGTTTTTTTTAAAGAAAATTTTGTTATGAGAAATGAGCAGTTCTTTTATAACCAAGCTGTTCCCCAGTCTGAAATATATGGGGAAAAATATCTGTTCTGACAAAATTCACCGTATCTACTTTTAAGTTTTAAAGCCATCAAAGCTCTCTTTATTGGCATCTAGATTCTATTTCTTGAAATAATTTTTTCTCTTACATTATCTGTATATTTTTAAACACTTGAATATTTGAACATCAACTTTGAAACATTTCTCATTGATTTTATCCAAGCAAAAATTTTCACCTTTACCAAATTGATTGTTTGGGGGTTACTTCTGCTTCAGAACTCAAGATATGCATATTCTGTTCTCATCTGAAAGAGGAGACTTCAAATTTAAAATGCTTATATGACAGGAAAACATTTTACTGTGTATCTCTACTGCCTAGTGGTGCGCCTTTGAGAGAACAGTATACTAGCACTAATAAAATAACTAATGTTTTCAGTATAGAAAAAGTAAAATAAATAAATAAATCTGAGTGGTTTTACTCTACTAAAAGGTTAGAAAAACTGATTTGTAATATAGGCACTTTAATTATGAGAATAATTTGACTCTTCTGCCCTTTTTTAGAAGATGGAGAAACAATTTGTGGATTATGGACATTTTCCTCTACAGCTTTTCTTCATTTATCACTGTTGGATTTATGTGTTTACTCGATAAAAATACAGTGATACAATTCAGATGAACACAATTATGATGAAACAGCTGTACTTTTAGAGAAAGGGGAAAAAAGAAATAGGACTATTTTATCTAATCTAGTAATAGCTTTCTCACTGTCTTTAATTTAAGAAAACTAAAACTGCAGCTCCATTAAGGTAATATTTCTCTAATTTCTGTCTGTTGTATTCCATTTATATAGCAGATCTTACAGAAGTTAATTCTCTTTAAAATTGTACTTTCCTATCACTATAGAACATTTTTTACTATTCTATTTCCATCAATTTGTGCTTAGGAAAGAATCTGACCCTGGTTCTGTTGATGCTGCTATTTCTGAACAGGGAGAAAAGAATCTGTGTAGGCAGCTTCATCTCAGAACTCTCATGCTATCCCTACCTTTCAGAATACAAGTCTGCTTACTTAAAATACAATAATCCTGAACTGCTTTCATTTTCTGGCATTAGTTTAGAAGTTCTTCTTGTCAAACACAGTATCTTGCAGTGCTCTGAGATAAAACAGCATGCCTTTCCTCCTAGGTCTGTAGATTGACAGTTTTGGTCAGGTTTTCTAGGCTAAGAAAAGAAAGTTACTTGGTGCTAGCTTCAGCTCGTGGGTAGCCATTATCACCAGGCAGGTCCCCACTGTTGCCTCTACCTTTCTGCTGCAAAGCTGGCATAAATGATGTAAAAGATGAAAAGTGGAGTTGAATTTTGTCATTTCTGATCCTACGCTATAGGCAGTACCATGTTTGTGAGCTGGCTAGATGGATGAGTCAGCTATGTGGTATTAGTTCACACTGACTCCACTGAATGGTAAACTTTAAGATGCAGTTCAAGGATTTCCTTCTACTCCGCATGTGTCTCTGCTGTTTAGCTTTAATGTGGTTCAGAATTAGTTTTTAGATGTCTGTGTTTTTAGTGCCCCTTCCATCAGTGTGTTTGCAAACTCTTTCCTGTTTTGCAATGATGTTTTTACTCCAGAGTCAATTAATACTGTGTCACAGAGAACACCTGATTTGTCTGCTAACTCAACTCCTTCTATGAATGAGTTGGAGATAAGCTTGTTAAGTTTCATTTGGCTCTATGAATAGCTGCAGTATACATTTACATGCATATTTGGTTGTGTGTGGGAATTGTTGAGTCACAGCCTGAACCTCTGATTGAACACCTGGGGAATGGACCCGGTCAGCCTTGGAAGTACAGGTGAAGACAATTCAGCAGTGAGACCAGAAGGGCTGGAGCCTGGCTGCACCTCTCTTATACCTCATTTAAGGGCTGAATGCCACTGTGGAAGGATCTCTGGTGGAGAGTTTTTCTTCCAAACCTGCAATCTTGTGATACAGGTGAGCAATTTTCTTCCCTTCCCTTATAGCACCTTTCTATTGTGCTAGTCCTTCTGACAATTCCCCTCTGGTGAAACACTTTTTTCCTATTGTACCGATTTGTCCAATTGCCATAGGTTGATTCAAGAATTAAAGATAAAATAAAATTTGGTTTTGCTTAATCATATGGCTTTCTAGTCTTTGAAAAGTACTATGTTCAGCTAGTTATTGAACTGGATGTTAATTTGTTTGTAACAATGAACTTGGTACCATTCAAGAGAGATAAATTGTTTGGTTTGCTAATGGTATTTCAGACAAGAATAACTTGAGTGAAACATCACTAGTGTATAACAAAAATACCAGAGGTAGATACAAGGGTAAGTAGGCTGTTTAGCGTTGATCTCATAATAATGCTCTGTTCCATTGTTTTATTTCAGTGTAATATATTCCATTTCAGAACTGTTCGAAATATATGTAGGCCTGATTTTTCCATGCTTTGTGAGACAAAATTCTGGGACTTTGAAATGGTCTTGTCTGATTTTAATATCATACTTAAGCCTTTAAGTGACTTCTTTCTTCTCTGGCATGCCCTAGGGGATACATGACTGAGCACACTCATGTGTCTAGGTGGTTAGTTTAACATTTAAACTGGCTTGCAAAGTTTACACCTTCAGATTTGCAAGCTGGAGGAGATCAAGTCTTAAGTGATCAACATAATCACACTCTATGCATAAATGCTCATCTGTTAAGGTAAACTCCTATTTTCCCTGTAAAGCAGATAGGCTGCAAAGCAGCTAGTCTCATGCTATAAATTCAGTGCTGTTTTACAGTTTTCAGGACCTGCTGGGGGGAAAAAGTAATTTCAGATCTCTGCATGATGAAAAGTAGTTTCAACACGCCAGCACAATTTTGTTTGCAATTTTTTTTTGGAACAGGTAGTCATGAAGAACTAGATGTAAACTAATCTGCAGCCAAGAATATTTACTTTTCCTCTGTAACTTTCATTAAAAGACCAAAACACTTGTTCTGCAGGCTAGAATTCCGATGTGACAAAAGGTGGAATATAAACCACATGCTCAATCATAAAAATGTTTCTGTAAACTTCAGAGAGAGTATTCATGTGCTTAAAGCCATGTACCTGTTCACATTTCAAAGCCTGCATTTGTAATACTAAATTCTCTTTAAATTGGCAATTTGTTAAGAACAGCACCAACCCCATATTATTCATAACACTCAGGTGTCTGCTCAGACTTCACACTGCAGAACTTCTTAGCTCCTACCAAAATAATAACATTAACAATTACAGCCTCACTGTTTTTTGACAGCAATCCTTTGAAAATCTTGTCAGCAAAAATTATTTTTACCTCAGTAAAAACACAATGTACAGGTCCCCTGCTCTTAACCGTAGGATGCTTTAATAAGAATCTAGTCCTGTCCAATTGCAGTATTATTGATGAGTGAAAGCTTTTTTTTTCCCTTGCTTTGTAATGCCTTTAAAGCAGCCCAGAGATTATTTGTCCATGTAGAATGAACTCTTTTCAACTGGACATTGACATGACATCTTTTTAGACTTTCAGTATTTATCTAATAGGGAATGCAAGACCACATTTATGTAAATCCAGATTTCTGTTTGAAGTTAGACATCCTAAATTGAAATAAAGAGAGCTTAAAATGTCTTGCGAAACATGACCTGGGCTCATCAGATCTTCAGCTAATAGAAACATCTTTTCTATGGAAAATACCCTTGGCTCTCTCTTTCTGCTAACAGCAAGTTAGATTACTACATTGGCATCAGTGGACAGAAAGGATAAATAACTATAGTCATAAAAGAGCTCCTTTCCTAGTAGTTGGGTTCTTTGTTCCAGCACATGCTGGCCTAGTCTGATTCTGCTTTCTTTGTCACTTTACTTTGTAACAGCTGTCCTGAGTGATTGATGTAAGCATAGACCAAAGGACTGAATGGATGGTAGCATCCACTTTTCTCTCCATCAGAGGAAAATATAGACATGTTCACTGCCACTTGCACCAATTTCTTGTACTCTGAAGCTATGCTCCAAGAGAGAATTAGCTGATATAGCTTGGAGTATGCTCATTAGTTTCAATATAACAGAACATTTCCATCCTCTGTTTATTCCAAAGAGTCTTTGATTGCAAACTGTCTCTTCATTTCCTTCCCATTTCTTCCTTTTTACCTGATCTCCTTTTTTTTTTTTTTTTTTTTTTTGCTTTTATACTTCTCTTACTACTTCCTTTTATTTTCTACCACCCCCAACTAAAAATTAAAAAAACCCTCCAACACCTAGCCCTTGCTTTCTTTCAGGGAAATTCAGCTTGCTTTGTACAGAACAATCTCTGCCCCTCAGAGCCATTCTTCAAGCCCCAGAACATCTCCAGCTCTTTACTTCCTTAAGCCAGACTATGTAACGCGTCCAAGACCTCAGAAGTGAGCAGCTGTTAAAGCATGGGACCTGTAATGGACTCTAAGATCAATTCCTTTATTTCCAATAGTTATTCAGTACTACTCTTTCCCTTTTTTTCTGCAAGCCAGTGCATCCATAATGCTTGCCTTTGATTTCAGCTGAAGACTGTTTAGATGCTGAAGAGCTATTCCAGCTCATCACTGCCATTATAAGTTCATACTGTGGCCAGAGCAATTAAGGCTTATTTATGTGCTCAAACCCTGACAACTGCATGGACAAATACTGTTTTTGCTATTTTAAAAAGCATTACAATGCACCAAAAAAGCTTTCACTTGTCCAATGGCAGTGTTATTGACAAGACTGGCTTCTTCCTGGGTTTAAAAGCAAAGGACCTGTACATCGTGTTTTTATTGATAAAAAGAGTTCTTGCAGACAAATCTTCAGTGGATTTCTGTCAAAGAACAATGGGGCTGTTATTGTTATTATTTTAGTATACACTAATAACCTCTGCAGTGTGAAGTTTGAATAGGTGCCTGAGTGGTACCTTTGAAACAAGGGTACAACTAAACAATTGCAACATTAAATAATGTAGCATTATGCAACAGTCAAATGTTTGAAAAAATGTGCTCCATAGGAAAACATTAATTCTCTAATGTTTGTACATGCAGCAAAATCAGATGGTGTTATAAATTGAAAAATAAACTTAGAATCAATTCTAGGAGGTGAGAGTAAGTCTTCTAAGCCCCACTGCTGCTAAAAGAAAGCAACAGTCATTCCAGATAGCCATCAGAACATCTGAAGGATGAGAGCCTATTTGTTATTTGATAATCCTTATTGGATGAAAAAATGGAGAGAGATTATAGCTTTCAGAGTTCTTACAGAGACTTCGTATTCTGTTTAAGTTTTATGGATATGTTTTTCCTCAGGCCCTTAACAACTGACTTTCCAGGTAGATGAAATTAAATGTTTGACCTTCATAACTAGAAAAACATACAATGAAGTTGGTTTCGACTGGACATATGTTTTTGCCCTCTTCCTAGTACATGCCTTAAAATCAATCACACAGTTTTTATTCTTTTTCATTTAGATTGTAATCAAAATATGACAACAGAATTTTACATGTCAGAAATATCCCAACTGGGAAATTCTTGTTACTCTGAGCCTCTTTGCTAGAGGTACATTAACTGGCTTTCTGTAGTGCTACAAACCAACAGTAATTTGAATTGGGAATTGAAAAGTTGCTGATGCAACCTTCTTTCTTGGAAGGGCCAAATAGAATATATTTCGGGGTAGCAAAAATTAAATTAAAAAGTAATTAAAACTTAAATTTATCTGTTTTCTGCATTCTGAAGGTGGTGAATATCAATTCCACTGGTCATGTTTTCCCTTCTGCATATTCTCTCTTTTGGAATGTGAGAAGACAGAGCCCATTCCTAATTCTCAATAAAGATGTAGTCGACCTGCTACAATTTTTGAAAGTCATAATTCATCTTTTTTCTTCAGGATGATTTTCCTCACAAGTTCTGTAACATGAGGTCTTATTTCTTCAACAGAGACAGTAGAGTCCCAGGCCTTTACTACTTTTCCATTGGGGTCTACCAAGTATTTCCAGAAGTTCCAGGTTGGTTCTTCTCCTGTAGAATCTACAGGGAGGGGGAGAAAAAAGGAAAAATGAAGGAAAGTCATGTTAACCAGTTCTTCAGTTCTTATTTGTACCAATCTGATGATTATCAAAAAAAGAAGGAATGTCAAATCTAGAGGGTGTTCAGAGTGGATGTTAAGATGAGCTGTCTGACAAGGTGATTTAACTAGACATTAGTCCCCTGGAGAATGATGGAAGCACAGTCAAGCTTGAGACAGACAGAAGAAAGGACTGTAGTCATAAGAGACGTGTATGTACTCTACAGATGATTTGAAGCAGTTGAACACTGATAAGGAAATGGAATTTGGGATATAAAAAAACCTAACTGCACTGGGAATGACAATTTGTTTACTTATCCAGAATTTTTCCTCCATGAACACCTGGTATCATACACTTCAGAAGAATGTTTCAAGAAATGCTATGTGAAGAAGTAACAAGGTAAATTATTCTACGAGGTTTCCTCCTAATTCTCATATACTACTCTCTCTCTCCAGGACTACGTATTCATTTCACTACAGTGGTATTTTTAGCCTTTACTATCTTTTACATAGCTAACAAAATGTTCAGGATTTTGAGTAAGACGAGGAGTCTCATTACACTAATGGCACAAGTACAGACCCTACAGACAAATTAGCATCTTTTTTCACTGATTATACAATAGACAAAGTCTCATGGGATCCAAATATATTTCAGAGTATTCTCAGTATACAGACAGACCTACATAGTTGATTGGTTGTTAAGCTGCAGTAAATATACTGTCTCCAGCAGCTTCCCTTTGTGGGCAAACAAGGAAGGAAGAGGTATGCAAGTTTCATGTGCCATGTCCGTGGTGACAACCTCAAAGGGAAAAACAGAAATGGAAGAGCATGAAGAGAATTAAAGGGGATTTTGATTAGCAGAAAGATCCACCTGGGGGGAGGATTGCTTTAGGTAGCCAAAAATAATAGTGGAACTCCTTTAAGTAATGTGTGGGTGAACATTATGGTGTTGGAGAGAATAAGAAGTGGCATGGTTCTTGCAGAGTGCAGCTTGTGATACCATGTCATCTTGGTCTTTATTATAGATAATTCCTGGCAGATATTTCTTTTGCATTAGATAAAGGCTGTCATTTAAGTCTGGCATTTAAATGGTATTTTAGAGTGTTCATTCAGTGAATGAAAAAGCGTCTTGATAGGGAATATTCTGCTTTACCATGTATTTTTGTTAGCTGTCTGCTGAGAATGAACAAAACCTCTTCAAGTAGCATTTAGCTATAATGCAGATCAAAACTGGAAAAACAGTACAGTATGGCTATTGCAATGTTTGGTAAGGAATGAGGAAGGAAGTATTCAAGATTAACTCTTAGTGTCCGGTTTCACTTTTGGTGAAGAAGTAAATCGTGTAGGCACTTTGTTTCCTCTTATTCTAAAGATCATTAGATGAATCTTTAAATCCAACCTGCAGCAGTCGTATCGCAGGAGAACCACTTACAAGATTACAAAGTGGAAAAAAATGAAGATCAGGTGTTGTATGCGTGTAGGAGAATATTTCAAGGCAGAAGTGACTAGCTCTTACTGGACATTTGTTCTTGTAGAGTTCTTCATCCCTTGGAATATTTTTTTAAAGGCTAGACAAGCCTGTTGTAGCGACATAGAAGTCCTGCCTTGTGCAGGAGAATGGGTCAATGACTTAACTTCTGAAAATTCTGTGCTGTGGTCCTGTGTGCACAGTCATAGGCACTCTTTTTAATCAGACAGTATCCTGTGTCAGGAATTCTACCCTGGAGAAAAAAACCATTACTGTTCCAGATTACTCACCAATTAAGTACTTGAAGGCAGGAATTGCACCAGCTCCACTGACTGCAACTTTGCTGAACATAGGAAAGGAGGCACCGTAAGTCTTTCGTGCAAAACTCTCTATTTCTTTGTTGGTGTCTGGTTCTTGTTGCCCAAACTGATTGCATGGGAATGCCAGCACATTGAAATGATATGGGCCAAGGTCTTTCTGTAACTGTTGCAAGGCCTTGTAGTGACTATCTGTAAACCCACATTCGCTTGCAACGTTGACAACTAATGACACCTGAAGAAGAGGATGAGAGAGATTAAAAAATGCTGCACATGTCAGTTTTCCAACAGTAGGCTGGGATGCAGCTCAGTTTCAAAAAATGACATTTTCTGCAGAACTGAGACTGCTCATGTTTGAAATTGCATTAAGTTTTGTTCACTACAGAAAGATTAAAAATATGTATTTCTTCTATGAATTACCATTGGGAAACTGTGAAGACAATCAAACTAGTAAATTATCTTAATTCCCAGTTATGGAGAGCCTACCCTATGGAGAGCTTCTCTGTTTTGCATTTTGGATAGTTTCTAAGCGTTCTTAAGAAGTGACCATTCAGCTGAGCAATACTCAGTTGCCTGAAAGAAATCTGCACATTAATGGTTGTTTTTGATTGTCCATTTATCTGTTGTACAGCATCTTTTCTTGTAAAGAATTTAGTACTCAGAACTGGCTGATCCATTTATCACTGCCAGTGTAGATGTGCTGGCAATGATTAATGGATGCACACAATTTCTAGATTGTCTACTCATAACAGAATGGCAACATACAAAATATGAAGGTTTACTGCCCCAATTACAGATCTAAAGTAGTGAAGAATGTGCCCGTTTTAAAGTCTTCTTGAGAGTAGAATAAAGCTGAATATTGCAGACCTTTTAGATACAGCATGATTTTATTAATAAAAGTAGTATTATGCAGCTTATGGTGAGGTTTCTTTGCATATAACTACATTATATTCTTTTTTCAAACCATTCTTTAAGAGTAACAAGCCAGTGCATCTAGTTTACACTGAATCCAGTGGGTTTCTACAGATTATACATCAGTCCAGAAGTTGGTGCTTCATTTTAAATTGCAAAGAAAAAACTTAAATTCAGTCATTATCACCAGTATATTCCCCAGTATATATTCCCAGAATAACTACAATGACAGCAGCTATTCATATCGATCTTTCTGCAATAGCTAGGAATAGTTGGCTTCATTATTGTCAGTGTGAGACAACGATGCTGAAAGGCCCAGTGCAGCAAGAGGGAAACCTGACGCCTGGACATATTAATTGGCCTGATCAAAGTTACACAGCAAATACACAGCAAAAAAGTAAAAAAAAAATCCTAACACCCTCCATACTGATGTCTGTGACTGCTGCCTTTGCTCAGTGCAAACTCTGGATTCTAATGTTACCATATGATTCTATGCAAAATAAGATTATGTAGGAAATATGAATAGAGTACATAATATATATGAAAAATACAGGACTAAGAATAACGTTAAGTCTCAAATCCAAACTCTCAGATAAAAGCTCATAATCTGGGTAAGGTATGGAGTAATAGGGTGAAGTTCCTGTAGGTGCAGGAAGCAGTAAAGAGAAAGCTCAGGTGAAGTTGGTGTTTATAATTTATGTTAAATATTAACACATTGTGCATTTTGTGCCTTGTATAGGTATGTGACTATATTTTAAGTGTTTTCTGAGCAGCCCTATTTGTTTTCCCTGGCAAGCAGAAAGGTAACTTCTAAAGCAGAAGCTGATGTAATCTTTGTATTGTGCCAAATACAGTCTAAGCAATCCCTATAAACTTGCATATGAAATATTATCTGGAGCCATCTAGCTAACTTCCAAAGCACCAGTCATTCAAACTACATTTAGGATCTCTACTTGAAATTTTAAATACGTGCTGTATAATTAGGGTTTAGGATTCTCTCCTCTGTTTTCCATTCCCTCTCCTCCCCTATCCTTTTTTGTTTTTATGAGAAGACAAAATGATTCTATGATGCATCCTTGTCACAAACTGTTAGCATCACAAATTAAACTTGTATTCTGAATAGAATGATTATTTAAAAGCCTTTATCAAGCTATCTCATAAGCATCTGTCTGGTACTGCAAGTGATAAAATGTGGTAATTCGTATTTTATTTACTTTTAATAAATAACAGCTTTTCTTCTTGTCCTCATAAGAGATTGTATTTCAACAACTATTAATAATTGAAATTAAGCTCAGTACTCCCTTTGACTTTTCTCCCACCTTAGGCTCTGAGAGTGCAAGTCAACCACACCACCTAGTGTGCAATGCCAACAATTCAACCTGAACTTTTCAAAACCAATTTAATCTGAATTCTATATAAACTGTTGTCTTTTAATACCTTAGAAAACCTATGCGTTCTAGTACTGAACTCATCTACTCAACACTGCAAATTCAGTTCTTGTTTTACTTGATGTTTACACAGTGTATGTGTATCCTAGAGATTTAAGAATCTGTCACCTTTAAAGTAAGTCTTCGTCGATCTTTTATCAGAAATGATAGATGCTCATGTTCTTAACTGTCCCCATCTGGCTGATGAAAAGATCAGCTACAAATGCCAGATTAAACTGACTCAATTGTTACCTTCATGGATTAAAATAGTAGTTATTATAGCAATTATTTGTACAGTAATTAAGTATCAATATCCTGTATTTATACACATTCAATAATACTACATTCTCAGACTGCAGAGAGCTATGATACAAGGTGCCTAGCATTGCTTTCCACAATAAAATAATGCTGTACATCGTAGCAGTGCCTAGTGCTTTAGAAGATTATAGTTCCTTTGCTTCAGAATTCCCAAAAAACTGTCCTAGCAATGCTATATTACACCCCAGCACACTGTACATATTGTGTGGTAGGCAGGAAGGCAGACAGGTTGATAGTTTATCTAGATGAGTATAAACACAGCAGGGTTGTGAGATTCCTGACTCCCAGACAGATATATTTTGGGAAAGAATAGTGCTTTATACTTAGAGCATATCTGATAGAGATAAGATAAGATATAAACTTGGATTTAGACAGGTGTTCTGGTAAAACAAATCTTATCTGCATCCTATTGATTCTTTTCAACCAATCATCGCTACTCATGTTTAAAGTAGATGGATCAACATCAGTATGGTAGCCTGGATAAAGCAGGTCACCTCATGAAATGAAGTAAAACAGCCAGCTTTTTGATCTACTGCACTTGTGGTATTTTTTTTTCAGTTTTAGTATTCTTCTCCTTCTCTGCTTTCAGGTAGATTTAGTACCAGATTACATTTGTAGCACACGTATAAACTTCTAGCATTCTGGAAATGGTATTTCTTATACCCCCACAAGAAGAAAGATCTTCCATATTTCTTTTTAATATTTTTATTAAAGTGGAGGACAGGTTATATCTGTGCATATTTACATCAGGAAAAAAGGGTATTTCAGAGTTGTAAGTAGTGCTTTTCTTATTTACTATATGAAAAATGGTAATTCTAATTTGTATCAAGATGCACTTGAATGGAACAGAAGTTGAATTAATATCTATTAGTCTTGCTTTTTTCTTAGTAAGAACAATTATCCCTATGATCTGAATACATAATAATTTAAATTAATAATGAGTTATTGAAGAACCTGCAAGTCATGAATTGCACTATTTCTACTCAGCATGGCTCTTGTGCTTTTAGGATTTACAGGCTTCTTTTGTCTCCTCTGGAAACCTGATTTTTTTCAATTCTTGATGAATGTATGATCAAAGAATATTAAGATGCTATAATTATGAAATAAACAAGAGAGTTAGGTAAAGCAGGTTATAATAACACAAGGAGAATAGATAGGATGCTTACCTGTATCCTGGGCTCACTTATGAAACTCCAGCAGAATGGATCTCCAGAAGAGATCCTTCCCTACTGGTAATCAGTCTTATATAGGTCTAGGAGAGGTGGAGCCAGACTCCACCCTTTCTGGCAGCACAGGTGAATTGCCTTCACCTGTGCTCCTGTGGCACATTAATTAATTAATTAGCTGAATGGCTGAAGAAATGTTTCCTCTACATCTGCCAGAAAGCTTAATGCTGTTAAAAGCTGGTTCAGCAATTAGCAGACTTGTTCCAACGGCTAACTAGTGCCACATTCACTTTAAATTACCAGCAGCACATACATAGCACTGATACGTTACTTGTGTTCTTTTAATTGCTTCAAAATATTATGATAAACCTGCATCTTGACATTACTTATCTAGATTTAAGAAGGTTTATTATAAGAAATGAATGTTTAATTAACCTCTGTTTCCTTGATACTGAACTCTGATGACAATGGCAGAAAGTGCAATGGCTTATTATAAAGTAGTTTAAAATTCTGCATATGCATTCACAAAGAGCAGCTGGAGTGAATGTTGATTGCATCTCTGAATGCAAATCCTTTTTCTCCATATAGAAGCTGATCATCACCTGTTTTAGAATACATTCTTCCATATGGCTTAGCAGAGATCAAGGAGGAACATCCACTGATGGCGTTAACCTTTTCCAAGGTATGGCTCTAGATCTCTCCCTTACGAAACTAGTTACTCCTTGAGGATGGTGTGCTGTCATAGCACCAGTGGAGATAGAGATGCATGCTCCTAATCCTAATGCAGTCATGAGATACTAGAGCAGGCTCAGCAACTTGTTAGGTTGGGGGCAAACAGCCACAGAACTCTGCAGGGTGGCTGGAAAGAGTGCCTCCAATTTCACCCCTGTACTCCTTTCTATGTGGTTTGTGGCTCTGAAGTAAAGCTACAGGTGGTATTTGCTTATTCAGACAGATTTGTAGATGATGTGTAGAAAAACATGCCCTTGTGACAGGTTTTATTGACAGAGACTTTGGAAGGAACTCTTTAAAAATAAAGCAAATATTGCATAGATTGCATGTTGTTTTTTTTTTTCCAAGATAGATATTTGAGTGTGTATTTGACCAGTTCTGGTCTGTCTTCTAACCAAATTGTGAATGGAGGAGGACTTTGACCAGACAAAGTTTAATGCCTCTTATTTGGTTTAAATCCACCAGAATTTCTCTTTACTCAGCTGTTCAGGAAAATATATCCCTCCTTCTATGGGCCCTCTCTTCCTGCAAATGTTTTAGTGACTCACCACTGTGGACCAGTGGGCTCAATAACCTGAGTGAAGTAACTGAGGAGGGTGAAAAGGATGGTGGAAACACAAAGCTGAAGCTAAGAGTGAAAGTGAAACCAGTGCCTGCCTTTTTTGGTAGCATCACATAAGATGCACCTCTTGAGTGCTAAGGGTGGAGGTTGTGGGCTTTACGTTGTTTTTTTTTCTCTAATGTCTAAATCTATATGCAAGAACTTTATGCTCCTTTTCTTATTCTAACCTCTCTTCACTACTTACGGGACTAAGCATCTTAGATTGTCAAATTGCTGAAAAACAACCAGATTACATTCAGGGCAATTGTTTTTAAACTGGTAAGCTCTGTCTAGAACTCCTTAATGTAACATTTAAATGACAGTTAAAGACATAAAAAATGTTTTCTTGCTCATCTTGTTATACTAAAATCAACAAGTAGAATGTAGCGTGATGCACTACACTTTCACAATGCACTTACACAAATAACTGTCAATAAACCATTCATCTTTTACCTCTGTATTACTAATTATGGTGAAATTTGTTAACTCCATTAACCACTGATTATTATATATATATTTTTTTGATGCAGAACTTTAAAAGGAATGAAATCCAGGAAAAAAAAATAAAAATTAAAACTCATGCAGTTAAAAGGCAGAAATAAGTTCCAAATGTAATATGTACAAAGGTAACGTGCTTTAAGTTTAATAGCTGCCATCCAGTGCAATTCATCCTGCTGCACAAAGGACAGGCGCACAGGCAGTCCCTGCCTGCCACGTATACAGGGAGCAGCCTGCAGAAGGAACGCTGTGACACACGGAGGTGAAACCTGCAAACGCTTTATTTAAAGAGTGCAAAGACCTACGGAGCAATATCAAAGCAAGCACAGGCAACGCTCCAGATCAGTTCAAGAGTCGCAAATGCAAATCTATCTGCATGCATCCAATCTCTCCACCCCCCTTGGTTTCCAGAGACATGCGAGGAGCGTGCACTTACCGAGCCCCTGTATTTCTCCAGAGATACTAGTTTGCCCCTGATATTTACAACTTTAAAAGTGTAAAAATCAGTCTCTTTCTGCTGAGTGGCGGAAAATGCTAAGAGCAGGAGTGCTGTAATTGCAAGGAGCATGGCTAGAGGAATGAGAAAAACTTTAGGGAAGGAAGAGGAAGGCTTGTGCTCCACACTGCCCTCAGGATCTAGCATGCTGCACAACCGAGCTGCAGACACTTGCCACAAAAGCAAAGCCCTGCCGGAAAGAAGAGACTGCTGCAAACGAAACTTTTGCAACAGTCTGGATCTTGCATAGAGCACAGAATCATAAAATCCTTAAGGTTGGAAAGCACCACTAGGATCATCTAATTCAACCATAATTTAGCAGAGTCTGTGTCTATGCAAGACCTCATTGGCAGGTATTCATGGAGCAGCCAAATATGAAAACAGTGTTTCCTTGCAGTAGTGATGTGTCAAGCGAGGCCCTTTATGAGTACAGCCTGAATTGAAGTGCTAGTTCTTTGGCCCAAGAATAGCAAGATGGTATGCCAGATGTACAGATTCGCTTTAACTATGTCCTAGGAAAATAAGGGAGTTCTGTGATTTTTGGTGGATTTGCAAGTGCATTTATTTTTTTTTTTTTTAGTATACTAACTATAAGCATCTAGTAACTGTGGTGTAATGTCAAAGGATATCGGTGGCTTGGTTGCTAGTGGTTACTGATGCAAGTGCTCAGAGTAAGAGTCATGGCATACAGTCAGCAAAACCTGAGAATTACAAATATGCCATGCATAATACCATGTGAAATGGAGCACTGCTCATGAGACCTTCAGGAACTTCTCTGTGAGGACTTGGTTGCAGAAAGTGACAGGGAGATGTAGGAGATAGAACCAAGGAGCTTTCAGGTTTTTAGAGCCACACCAGTGCCTAAGGATTAATGTACAGATGCCATTCTTGGGTTGTCTACAAGAAAAAATACCAATTTCTAACATTTTCTGTGATGTCTGCTGAGGGAAAAGAATTTGTATATGTAAAGTAACAACCATAGAAAGCATTTGATGGTCATTGATTTCTTCTTGGACCAAGAAACTGTTCCTCCGTGCCTGACTCTGGTATTTCTTGGCAAAGAAAAGCAAAATGTAATTTACAGAAAACAATTTAGTACATCCAACGCATATTGGAAATATATCTTTTGAAGAGCAAATCACATTTTGTAATCTGTGTTGATTTTGTTGTTGTTTTTTTTTTTAACTGAGTATTTTTGTAGATCTTTGACATCTTGATTAAATTTGGTGAGGTGGTCCAAGCATAAGTGGCATTAGTGTAAGGGAAAAAAATCTTGGTTAGATGAAAGATTTAATGGTAGTTTTTAAGCATTTCAAATTTTGTATGCTTTTCTGTATTTCAGCTTAAGCAGACATCCAACATCAAGAAATCATGTAATGTCCTACGTGGATGAAAAGTCTTTCATCATGCTATAGGGAAAATACATTGTGCTGAGAATCTGAAGTTCTCATCTCATCTTCACAGGTAAGTTCTGTATTTCTGTGCACTTCCCTACCTGTAGCACTAACCATGAACCAAGTGCAATTTCCTCACTTTAGAAACAAATCACCTCAGAAGCTTTAGAGAATCTCTGAGAGAGCTGAAGGTGCAGATTAGGGCTTTAAAATGCTTTATGCTTTTAAATAAAGAAATTAAAACTAATTAATTCTAAAAACAGTTTAAAAATCATTCCAACAATGAAAATAATTTAAGCTTTTTTTTGCTGGAAAAACAAAAATAAACTTTCAGTACACTTTTCCATTATTTTTAGGTTTAACTATATAGTAGCTTAGGTATGGGACAACAAATAAGGCATCATGGTACAAGCAAGGTTTTGCTCTAGAAAGGGACTCCTATAAAAATCTGCTTCCTACAGCCTCATCTTTATTGTCTCTGTTTTCTATGCAAGATTCACTTGTTTTCAAAATTACATTTTCTCCTACAATCTCAGCCCAGAATCTGAAGGGTTTTGATCAGTGGCACTGAATTGCAATTTCTTTAAATGATGGCCAGCTGGCAGTGAAATTCAACTTCCTCTTTTACTGCCACGTATCTTTACTATTCCCTGCAATAAAATGTTCAACGTAGCAGAGAATGCAGAATTGTTTCCGAATACACACAGTGACTTGGTTTTGTAATGATCAAGTCTTCATGCCACAAATTTGCACTAACATTTTCTATTCAAGTCTATCCAGCTATTTGAACTAAATTGTTGAAAGGATCTGATATATTCTAATAAAGTTTAGCTTGTAGGAAAAATGCCAGGCAGTTTTGCAAACTGGTGCCTGTTTGCTCAGTAGCATGTCTAAATATTGATTTAGGAGCACTGCATCCAGAAGCAAGTTAAATTTAGTTATTTCTACAATTTACTTTTTGACTTACCAAACCTAATCAATATCTTTGTCTAATAGGGCTAATCTGAAGCCACCACCCAGCTGACCTCAGCTGCCCATCGGACAGCACTGCAGCACTGCAATTTTTGTCACTGCTGACTGGATTAGGCCCATGTTCCTAAAGGTCTGCTCTGCGCAACTTCCCAGAAGCAAAATATTGAGGTACCCATTCTTCATTTTGCAAAATTTGAGCTTGAAGTGAACTAGGAGAAAGCAGATTAGCTCTAAGGATTGCAATGAATTAACAATACATTTCAAAGGTACATCTTGCAAGTATTCACAGCATCCAGAATTACACATTTTGCAACTTTAATTTGCCTACAGACTTAGATAAGCTAGTGTTTTCAACACTATTATTTATTTTTAATAATTTCCTTTTAACCTCTTCCATAGTTCAACAACACTCTCATACCCCTTGTTTTTCTGGACAGGCTTCCTTACCCAGGGCTAGGCAGCGCCAACAAGGCATTTCACTGCCAAGAGAGGTAGCACTGCACTGGTTCCTTGAAATATTTGCCTTATTCAAACACTTGCCAATTCCTTTAGGTCACCCTGCAGCACTGCCAAGAGCCCAGCAGGCCAGCCCTTCTCTCTTGAGACCTGCCCAAGTGCCAGCAGACATGCTGGCCAAGGTACTGTCCCTTGCTGTGGCCCTTGCTGTGACAGCTTTGTAGCCAAGCCAGGGAGCCAGGGTCCCCTTTTCCTCAGCATCCCAGGGATGGGAAAGGCCTGCAGAGGTTGAGCTTTATGTGGAACACTCTTGCATTCCTCCACCAAATATCAGCGAGCAGAGCAGGGGAAGGGGGAAGGACAGCTTTGAGGCCCAGGCTGTGGAGAGGAGCAGATCCTCAAAGGGCCACGATGCATCATAGAATCAGCAAGGTTGGAAAAGACCTCTGAGATCACCTAGTCACCTACAAGACCGCCTACCACCGCTATCTCCCCACTAAAACACGTCCCTCAGCACCACATCTAAACGTTTCTCGAACACCTCTACCAGCTGTTAAACCCCACCGGTCTGCCCGGCTGCACGGGGAGGGGGCGGGCATTCCCTCCTGGCACGGGGAAAAAAAGAGAAAATGGAAAAAAAAAATGGGGGTAGGTTAGCGGAAAAAATGGAGCGCTTGCTTCCCTCACTCCCGTCTGCTGCTGTAGCGTAGGGGAGCAGCCCGGGAGGTGGGAAGCGAGGCTCTAACCCCGCACGAGCGATCCCGAGCAGGGCTGGCACGCACCGGCCCGTGCCCACCGCCCGCCCGCGCCCCACAATGCACCGCGCGGCTGACATGGCGGCCGGGCCGGACTGAGCCGCTGGCGTCGGGGCCTCCAGCAGCCGGAGCCGGGCATGGCGGGGGCGCAGCCCCGACACCCCTAGGGCCGCAGCCAGGTACCGGGCTCCGGGGGCAGCCGCCGGCTCCGGGGACGTCCCTCCGAGGGGGAGCTGGGCGCGCTCTGCCCGTTTTCCCCGTGCGCGGCGGGGGGAGGCGGGCCTGGGGGGGCTCGGTGGGGCCTCGGCACCCGGCTCGGCCCGCAGCGCCCAGCACCGGGCGGCCCGCCGGGCGCTGATGGCGGGGTCGGGGTCGCCGGGCACGGCGTCGGGGTTGTCGCGGGGAGCGGCTCCGAGGGCAGCGGGGAGCTGGGGCCGCATCCCGCCTGGAGCCGGGTGCGTGCAGGTTGTTGTTCTTCTCGGCTGGGATTAAAGAAATGCTGGGGGGGGGGAGGCAGGCCGTGCTCGCCAGCTGTGCCCCTGCCTGCAGTTACTCGCCTAAACCAGAGGTTCTGCTTTCTGTGCGCGGTGGTGTGCCTGTAACGACGCACAGCGATCCCTCCACCTCTGTTAGGGCTCTTTTGTTGGCTTAGCTCGTGTACAAATACATAAGCGACTCTCGGGCTTTTGCAGAAGGTTGCAGTTTGCCAGTTGACTGAATGTGTCACGTTACCTGAGGCCTTCTGGCTTTTAAGGTTGTTTCTGGGTCTGGCAAAGGAGGACGAGCTGGTTACACACAGAGAAACAATATAATCAGATCCAGGCTTCGGTTCTAGGGAGAGACTGGGGCGCTAAGGCAATAGCAGCATCATAAGAATCTATTAATTGTTTTTGTTTTTCATGCTATCTGCATGTTACTTTGTTTCCTGAACGATGGCCTGGGTTTAAGAGTTGTTGCGTTTGTTTGAAAATAGGGGATACGTGTTCTGTTTTTGTTTGATTCGTGCTCCCAGTTTGAGTAGGTGCTTATGCATCGTCTGACCCCTGATGGTTATGACATAATTATTTCCGTGACAAGAAAAGTAACTCGGCCATGGAAATGTGACTTAATTACAGCATCTGGCAGAAGAAGCTATATTAGGAGTGAGAGGTCTGCTTTTCAAACGTTGGTAGTGTAGTGAGCTTCTTTATCTTTTTCTATTTCACTTCTGTGATAATTGCTTCCTAATTTTTTTATTTATTTTTTAGGATGAAATTAAAGTTTCCCATCAGATCTGTGTGGGAATATATTCCCCGAAGATATGTAGGGAGAGATAGGAAAGTTCATTCTGTTCTCTCTTCTTGCATAAAAGACAGCTGGGGCTTTTGTCTTATACTTGGTGAGCACAGGAAGAAAAACAGCCGGATGCCACAGGGCACCTGCACAATGGAGGGCATTTACCTGGCACTTGCTCTGGAGGAAAGTGCTGCTATGGGGAGAATGGGGAAAAGGATTTCCCTGTGTTCTGTCTGAAAGCAAGGAGTCCCAAGAGAGCTCTTCTTATGTTTCTGGTGGATCTGCTTGTCACAGTAGCAGTTTTAGTTGTGTGTTCACACCAATGCCATAAGGCTGTGCAAAATTTTTCCCACCTGAGAGTATATCTAGTTGTAATGCTTGCTCCTAAATTTCACAAAGTGTTTCTTCTTAATTAGCGTTATTTCATTATTGTCTCCGCCTTAATAATGTATTACTGATACTGACTTGTTCCAAAAGCTCGTAGAAAGGAAGGTCCTGCATTTTGCTTATCAGGTTGATTACAGAATGGAAGCCATCCAGGGGAATCAATGCTTCTGGTGCTTTTGGAACATTATCAAACAACATACGATATAATCATAAGTTGTTTAATTGTGTGTAAGTGATAGATCAATAATTCTTTTAGCTTTGAAGTACTAAAAACCTATTAACTGAATTTAATAACAAAGCTTATGGAATTCATTTTTACTTTTGAGTAGTGATG